AAAAATATTTGGGGGTGCTTAACTTTTTTCCAGGTGTATATAACGTTACTAATAGTAGGCCTATTTGTAGTATAATTTTAAGCATTAAGCCTATTACATAAACGTAACGTACGGCTCAGATGAAACAATACTTGGTAAATTTTATTTTTGATTTTGGCTACAAATCAGGGTCATAAAACTTATGAATTAAACTATTTTGCTGTTATATAACCGAAGTTATCAACAAAATAAAGAATAAAAAACAAACCTTTCCATCAAATCAATATGAATACTGAGCAATTAATAAAATAATTGCATAGGCGAGGAAATAACAAAATGCAAAATAGAATATATAGTGGTGGTGAAAAACTTGCCAAATTAAAATAACTTTATTAATAAAACAAGAAAACGACGTTTCGGGCAACAGCCCATCATCAGTTTACCAGTGACAATGAAACTGTTAATATACGGGTTAGATTGAAAGAAGCTAGGGGAAGTAACATATAAAATAAAAATAACATAAATAAATTGTATAAATAAAGATAATCGAATTAAATAAACTATATAAAATAAAAAAGGAAACGTAGGACAAAAATGCAGGCAATAATATAATAAAATCAATGAACACGCGCATCGGGTAATATTGGTAAAATAGATACAACAATAAAAGGTATGTAAATTTAATAGGAGCGATGAACGACGGTGAAAAGAAAATAATATAAAGGTAACAAAAATGGATGACTAAAGTGAACAGACTAGAGAGGAAAAAAGAGTGCGAACATTGAACGAAGAGGTTGTAGACATTAAATGTCAGTGTGAGAAAGTATATAAAAAGTGTAGGCGGGGAAATTGAAAGTATTGTTACGTCTCCGTTTGTTAATTAACTTCCCGTAACTTCGTTCCGATGAAACTTTAGCGACACAAGTCCTTACTTAATAAAACTGGTTTATTCTTTCCGAATATAACTTTACGATACACTTAATTTCAATATTCGCGCTAAAACAAACACTATAACGAACGAACGTTAACTTCAACAATACGTCTCTCTCTGACTGCAGTTCAATTACTCATTACCTACACACACATTATTCCCGTCACGTTGTCACCCTCTTTTATATACCAGACTACCCTATATCTAGTAAATACTAGAGCATTCGCCAAGGTACAGGATAGTTCTAGAAAATAGGTGGCGCCACACCAGTCATGTGACTCGCTGACGCAACAGTATAGTTAAAGGAAAGAGAACTCTTCATTCATTCCAAAGAGATTAACAGTACCTAATATTAAAAGCAAACGTTTTTCCAAGCATTCTCTTTGTGTTACAGCGGATGGAGCAAGTGTGTGTCCAAGTATGATGAAGTTGGACATACAATGTGAAGGGTTATTAAAGTGTCTACTTCTGGGTTTTGTAGCGTGATTATTTCTTATGTAAGAGAGATGTTCACGTGAAGCGGCAACCTGTTTGACCAACGTATAGCATGTTGCGCTTTTTACAGCATACACAGTATTTCAGACTTGTTGAAATGCAAGTGAATGATTGTTGTATTTGAAATTTTCCATTGGAGCCAAGTATGGATGTTATGGTGTTAACATATTGGGAGGTGACACATTTCATTCTGTGACAACAGGCTGTACCCGAGTTCAAACTAGGGGTAGATTTCTGGATGACACTGTGGACTAAAATTTTGTTTTATCGTGTCTGTAACTGACAAGTGGGGGTTCCACTGTTAATATTTCCTTAATTACGTTATTCAAATACTATGTGTTCACACTTATACACATGTAGCTAAATATTATCTGACTCTAACGTTAGTAATAGTAAGTCTATTTGTAGGCTAATATAAGCATTAGGCCTAATACATATGATAAACGTAACCTAAGGCTTACCAGAAATACTATTTCATTGAAATCCTTGGTAACTTTTATTTTGCTTTTGTCTACAACTCAATATCAGTAAACTTAGGTGTTTATTAAACAACTGAAAAAAAATATAAAGTAGTGTTACGTATCCGTTCGTTAATTAACTTTCCGTAACTTCGTTGTTCCGACGAAACTTTAGCGACACAAGTCCTTACTTAATAAAACTGGTTTATTCTTTCCGAATATAACTTTACGATACACTTAATTTCAATATTCGCGCTAAAACAAACACTATAACGAACGAACGTTAACTTCAACAATACGTCTCTCTCTGACTGCAGTTCAATTACTCATTACCTACACACACATTATTCCCGTCACGTTGTCACCCTCTTTTATATACCAGACTATCTAGCATTTACTAGATATAGGGCTAGAACTATCCTGTACCTTGGCGAATGCGTCAGCGAGTCACATGACTAGTGTGACGCCACGTTTAGGGGGCAGTGTTGCGGTTATTGTTCGGGACGAACAATATTAAGGTTAATTAACTGTACAGAATTACAAACACAAAATTACAATTCAACAAATTCTCTTAATTTTACGGGACGTATTTTCTTCCATACTGGTCTCCGTGTCGTTGGCTTCTGCTTCACATGGGGTTCATTTACTTCATCAGGAAATGTCCTATCATCGGTAACAGTCACATCAGTGGTAGTAACTTCATCAAGAGCTTCACCGTTTCCCTTCTCAAAACTGAGTAGAGTTTCTTCTTCGACGGTGGCTTCTTCAGGTGGCACGTCTTCAGCAGCGTCATTTGTTCTGTTTTCCACTTCGTCCCAACTGAAATGTCCTGTACCGTGATTACGCCTATGCCTATTGGCATGCACCACTTTTGGTTTACCTCGCCGACCACATTTTATCCGAAGAGTCACGTCTGAGAGACGATCCACTACGTCATATGGGCCTTTCCATGGAGAAG